GTACCGTAACGGTTACGGTAACGTACCGTACGTACGTAGTACGTAGTAGTAGTAGTAGTACGTACTGAGAGAGTAGCGTAGAGAGAGAGAGAGAGAGAGAGAGAGAGAGAGAGAGAGAGAGAGAGAGAGAGTGTTCTCGGGGGGTACCAGTCGTCTGAACTAGAAACTTCCGTTTACTCCGTCACCATCTGCCGCCCACCCAGCCGTCCTCTGTCTGTCTGTTCACCCACACATCCATCCAGCACCCATCCCTGAATCCACCTACTCACTCATCCATTCGCCCACAATCCAGCTTGTTTCCTCCCATATGTCCCCAAACTCCCCTCTCCACCCCTCCACCCCATCCATCGTCTTACCCACCCCGCCTAACACACCACCCAGCCGCCTTCTCAACCTACTACCCGTCCATCCACACAGCCATTGACCTCTCCTCCATGCATATCCCATTACCCATCGCCCATACGCCGCCCCCTGCGCTCCCCGCCACCCCCCCATTCACCCACCCACCTGCCCTACTACCCGCTTACCACCACACGCAGGAGACTTCCCTCCACTCGCTTACGCACCTACTCTCACATCCACTCACCAGCTGTGGTCTCGCCATCACCCACCCGCCCATTCATCTGAACAACACACACCAGTGGTATGACCTTCGAAGGTTTGTCCACAGACTCCAGCTCAGCTTTGGGATTTGCAGCATCCAGTGAGTGGCATTTTAGCCCCTGGAAGGTGTGGTCTTACGAGGAAGACTGCCAGTCACGGTCACGGAGGGATTGATAAATGCAAAATCCAAAGGCACTCCGGGGTGGGGTGTGCAGAGAAGATGGGGAGGGGATCTTTACGGGGGCAAGATCTGATGGGCCAAACTCTAAGTTCTGAAGTCCCTGGAATAAAACATGAATAAATCTCTGTGACTCCCATCGGCATGACGGAAAATCTCAGTGTCCTTGAAATAACCAAGAGATTTGAGGAGCTGGCATTTTGCAGCCTCAGATAAACAAGACACCACCTCTACATCTCTTGGTTGTTTCCTTAGTGAATAAACACGTTTGAACCCCCAGGCATATTTATAATTAAGTATAGAAATATTTAATGGTACCAACTCCACAGAATTGAGACTTGTGTGTGACGGATCTGGGCATCTTTGGCATTGTGAGCATTTGCGATGTTTAAAAGAATTTGGGCTATCAGAATGACGTCAACCCTTTAATTCAAATTTAAAATATATACTTAATTACTTGAATTGGACTTACGATTTTACCTTGAAATCCATAAAGTTTATATCACACAGCGTTGGAACATTTAACAGAATCTGAGACTCGTCCCGTTGGGAAGTTACCTTTCTAGGTGTATCAGAATTACTTAACGTATTGGGGAGGTTTATCACTTAAAATAAAGTACATCAGGTTGTCAGTGTGATACACTTCTGAAGGTGTTTTATTAAGTTTGAAACTGGGACCTAATGTTAATCAAAACTCCTTTAAAAATAATCTCAAAATTTGTTAGGCTTGAAAGTATTATGATAAGACTTGTAGACTGAATTAGTGCTTTAAAGGGAAAAAGCCCTAGGTTTCTGGTTTTGTAACATTAATAAATGAAAATTTAATTATTAAAAACTGATTTCTGAATAATCTTTTCTAAGCATAAAAAGTCAGCTTGAGGACGTAAAAACAATCTCACTTTAACACCACACACCCACTCACCCTTCCACCCATCCATCCATCTACTCACTCACCCTTCATCCTGCCTTCTTGCTGTCCTCTTCTCCTGCCCAGCCATCCTCCAATCCTCTCACTTACTCGTTCTCTTATTCAGCTACCCATCCATCCATCATCAGTCCATCCATCCATCCTCCATCCACCCACCCAGCCATCCACCAACCCATCCATATCTATCCACCCATCATCCATCCATCACCCATCCATCCATCCACTCATCCGTCTACCTATCTATTCATCCACCCATCTATCCTTCCATCTGATAAATATTCACTAAAGAGTCTAGTCGGCAGGAGGCTTAGGACGAATACCCGCAAGTAAAGGGAGGCTGCAGCTGGACAAACAGAGCGTTCATGGCATCTCAGCACTGGGAGGCCCTGGCCCCGACCTCCCTCTGCCCTTTCCCTTCGTTGTGCCATCTTGCTCCCACAACGTCTAGGATCATGGGTGTGGTAGTAGGTGTGTGGGTCCTGGCACCAGTGGTCCCAATTCAAACCCCAGCTTCTCCTTGCTGTTGTCAGAGGAGTTTACTGAAGGGACCATCGGCATTGTAGGATAATAACAAGGGTTCCTGGGGTCCATGTGTGCGGGGCTGTGCCAGCCCTCAGTCAGAGTTGCCCCTGTGGGCGCCCTGCTGGACACTGCCTGCCCGACACGTGTGCTCACTTACGGGCTGGGTGGTCTGTGGGGGGATGGACACAGATAAACGGACCATTGCAGCCATCACTGGAGCTAAGAAGGCGTGAATACAGGGGCTGTGGAAGAAAAGAGGTGGCTTTCCGTGGGGGACAGTCCCTGTGACGTCAAAGGGAATCCAATCAAGCTTCCTCAAAACCCCCTCCACGGCAGCCCCCTGCCCTGCACCTGAGCCAGGTCTGGGCTGCAGGGACAAGGACCTGGCCTGGGGACCTGGCTAGACAAGACGGTCCCCACAGCCTCCCCTGGGACACTGCATGCAGAGAAGCAGGCCAGCCCGCGCGGCAGGGACATTGGTCTGTTTGCTCTGTGTGGTGACGTGGTGACGGCTGTGCCCCGTCCTAGGGGATCAGATGGGAGGATCCATGGGAGGCAGGGCCGCGAGGGGTTAGTCATTCGCTCGTTCGTTTGTTCATTCATTCATTCTGCAGACTTTTCTAGGCCCCCTCTTGTCTCTTGGGGAGATTGGAGCTGCCCTGGGTCACATGGCCAGAGGAGGGGTCAGAACCAGTGCTGGATGCTCCCCCACCGGCAGACCCCCCCCACTCAGGTGGCTCTGTCCTCGGCACTCTGACCTCTCAGACCTCTGGGGACCGGCCAGGACACTGAAGGAGGCTGCTCCTGCTCCTGGGGACCTGGAGGTAAGTTGTGGGGACAGGAGAAAGGAGAAGGAGGGCTCCCTGCGGCCCGCCGCGGCCCCCACGCCCCCCTCTCCGGCTGTGGGTCCTTGTGTGCGGAACATTCAGGTTCCTTACCTCCCGTGTGGGTTCGAGTGGACCGGTCAGTGACCAGCGGCGGCGCACGTATCCCCAGCTTTCCTTTTCTCTTCCCTGCCACCTGATTTCGGAGTGTTGGTGGTGTGGTCCCATCCCACCTGGTTACAGGGTGTTGGGCGAGGACTCCACGTGCTCTCATGTGCTCAGTGCAGTCTGCTCCCCCCCAGGTGGACAGGTCATCGCTGTCACGTGGCTGCACGAGAGTGGGCTGGAGCTCGGTGGTGGTGGTGGTGGTGGCGGCTGAGACTGGGCGGTAAGGTGCGGAGGGAGGAGGGGGAGGGGAGGGGGAGGAAAGAAGGAGGGACAGAGGCCGGGCCCCATCCTCAGGTTGGGGTCAGGGACAGAATCCTGTTGACCCCGGGTCCTGACCCAACCCGCTGCAGCCAGGAGTGAGTCCCTTGTGAGTCAGTGGGCTGGGCTGTGTGTGTGCGAGTGTGTGTGCGTGAGTTGGGGGGTGGGGCCCGCAGCGTGGAGGCAGGCACTTCTGGGTTTGAGGACTGGCTTGTACCTTTCCAAGGTGACCTTGGAGTGACCTTCGGGGAACGTCTTTGCTGCTCCCAGGAGATGCTGGTCTCCCTCCTGGGGGTGCTGTCGTCGTCTCGTGGGGTCAAGCCCACCACCTCGGGCCACCGGGCCGGGGAGGCCTCCAGCAGACGGTGGTGCTTCCTCCCTGTCCTGGGTGCCTGTGGGTGAAGAGCGGACCGGGAAGGGAACTCCAGGATAAGAGGTCCAGCGGATCAGGGCTCCGGCCACACCTTGGAGGAGGAGGATGCCCTGCCTGGGGTCCTTCCTCCACCTCCCTTAAGACAAGGTGCCAGGGAGGGGCCTGACCAGAGACCGGCGGGGCCCCTTCCCGTCTGGGGCAGCGTTCAGCCAAGGTCTCTAGCTGACCTAGGGCTGACCGGGGTTCGCCCTGCCGGCCGAGGCTTCAGACGGGATGAGGCGCTGCAAAGGTGCCCCTCAGCCCCCGTGCTTCCAGACTCACGGCAGCTGCCGCCTGCCCTGGCTGGGCTGGCCCACTGGTCCAGCTGCCCCTGTGCACCTGGACGGTCAGGGCGGGGGCTGTCCAGTCCCTCAGTCCGCTGGCAGAGAGGGAAACTCACAGCGCGCATCGATTTTGCTCTATTACCATGAAGCGCATCACAGACGCACAACAACGGGTCCCTTTCCTCAGCTTCCGGGCGCCCCCTCCTGCTTTGGGACCCTTAACCCCAACTGTGCGACAGCTGGTTCTGGCTGGTCCCTGCACTTCTGCCAGCACACGTGTGCGTCTGCTTGTCCGCGTTTGAATTGCTGTGAGCTGGGCCACGTCATAGGAGCCCTTTGTGACTGCTTCCGTCAGGCTGGTGTGTGCCCCTGCGGCCCCCTGTGGTCGCAGGACGTGCCCTGCGGACGCCCTTGCCACCCCGAACACAACGCAGACATGGAGAACGTCGTATTCCGGTGCCCATGTCGTGAGCACTCATTTACTGAAACACCCAGAAGGGACCTGCTTTGTCCATCGTTCTCACTCCGTCAACTTTCCTGCATCTGCTGTCTGCTTGCTGGAGGGCTGCCCCGTTCTCTGGGGACCAGACCGTGGCTCAGGGTCCCACCCACCCTGGGTTCTGTCCAGTCTCAACATTTTTGACAACCGAGTGAGTATCAACCAGGATTTGCTGTGGTTTAATTCGCATTTCCTTACGTGCTCTTGGAGGCTGCATCTTTGCTTGTGTTCATTTGCCCTTCGAATTTCTTGTTTTGTGTGTGAAGCACCCGTTCAAACACTGTGCCCGTTAGAAAAATTTTTTGGTCTTTCCCTTAGAGACTAGTTGAGTTCTCCACGTATCTCCTAATGAGTCTTTGCCAGTCATTTGTGTTTCAAACATCTTCTCCCAGTGTGGCCTGTCTTTGCATTCTCTGTGTGGTGTCTGGTGGACAGAAAGAAGTACTACATTTTAACGTAGCCCAGTTAATTCTTTGTTCTCTTTGGAGTCTGTGCCCTTTATGTCTTGCTTAAGAGATTGCTAGCTTGAGATGCGCAGATGTGATCTACTATGTATAAAACAGATAAAGAAGGAGGTCCTACCGTACAGCACAGGGAACTATGTTCAATATATTGTAGTAACTTAGAATGAGAAGGCGTGTACGCGTGTATATGTGTGACTGAAACATGGCGCTGTACACCGGAAATCGACACAACATTGTAAACTGACTGTGCTTCAGTAAAAAAGAACACAGATTAAAAAAAAAGAGAGAGAAGTTTCTCCCAGCCCTGGAGTCACCAGACTGTCCCGGCCGTGTCTTTCCGGAAGATCTGTGAGCTTACCGCCCGCGCTTCATCTTTCATCCACCTGGTATCGCTTTTAATTTATGACTTACTCTCTTCCTGGCGTTGATTTTTGTGGACAGTGTGAAACAGGCATCTGATTAATATTCTTTCCTCTGTGGATAATCTGGTCTCCACCTGATGGTCAGGAAAGGCCTGGCCTTGCTCCACTGGTCCCCAGGCTTCTCCAGCAAACGGGCGAGGCTGTGCTCCCCCAGTGCCCACGGAACCCCCACACCGGCTCCTCGCCGATGGCTTTATTATAGCTTTAAAGGAAATGCTGGGGTCTGGTAGGGCAGGCAGGTCCTCCTACCCGGGTGTTCCTCACGAGTATCGAGTCTACAGGTCATTTTGCGGGGAAATTGATACTGTCATAATATCTTGGGGGCTTAAAATTAATTAAATTAAATTAATTGATTTATTTTGGAGAGGGGAGTAGTTAGGCTTGTTTATTTATTTATTAATGGGGGCACCGGGGATTGACCCCAGGACCTCGCACATGCTAAGCACACGCTCTACCCCTGAGCTATACACCCTCTCCCCTTATTTTGGGGACTTCTAATTAACATACATGTTCGTTTGAAAAATATACCTGTTTTCTCTCTCCAATCATTTAGGTTTCCTTTAATGATATGCAATTTTTGTTCTGTTTCTCTTTCACATATTTCCTTAGGTTTATTCCCAGGGATTTCATGTTTTCAGTATTACTGTAAATGGTCTCTGTGATGGTTAATTTTATGTGTCGACTTGCCTGGGCCGCATGCCCGGGTGTCTGGTCCGGATGTGCCTGCGATGGCGCTTTTTTTGGGTGAGATTGACATCTTCAGTGGCAGATTTGGGGTGAAGCAGGTTACTCTCCATCATGTGTGGGGACCTCATGCAGTCAGTCAGAACGGTCCTCCCCAGGGAGAGGGCTGTCTGAGCTGCCTTGGGACCTGAACTCCAGCTCCTCCCTGAGTTTCCGGACTGCTGCCCACCCCTGTGACCCTGGACTCACAAACCTCCACCCACCATCGCGTGAGCCAATCCTTGAAATAAATCATTCGTTATAGATGATGCCTGACTTACAATGGTTTGACTTACGATTTTTCTGTATGTGGTTCAGTCCTTTCTTGTGATACTGGGCAGCCCCGAGACCGTGGGGTAGCCAACCCAAACACTCACAACCGTTCTGGATTTCACCTTCAGGACAGTGCTCAGTAAATTACACGGGCTAGCCAGCTCTCCACTGTGGAACAGGCTTCGCGCGAGGCGCCCTGCCCAGCTGCGGGCCCACGGGAGTGCTCTGCGCAACTTTGAGGTGGGCTGGGCGGGGGCCTGTGATGCTTGGCGGGCGAGGCTGCAAAATGCATCTTCAGCTGATGCCTTTTCACTTACAGTGGGTTTACTGGGACGTGACCTCCTTGTCAGCCAAGGAAGGTTTGTACATACACACTTCTTGTCGCTTCTGTTTCCTGGAGAGCCTGACACAGCACCTTGTGAACAATTTCGTTTTCTAAGTGTTGCTGGTAGATTGTAATACAGTAGGTGTTTTAATTTGCTCTGTATCCAGCAAACCTGCTGGAGCCAAGGTGGCGGTCACTGGTCAGCCCCAGGACACCTGCGCTCCAGGTGCGGACTCCCAGCTGAATTTCCAGGCAGAAGCGACCAAGGCTGCATTCTACAGATGTCTGCTTGTCCCTGGCCTTTGACCCTGAGCCCTGTCTTGGGTGGGGGGGCTTTTCCAGGGCCACAGGGAAGGGGTGGCATGAAGAACCACAGAGGTGAGGAGTGTAGGAGGGGCCTGCATGACTTGGACAATGAAGAGGAAACGGAGCAAAGTGTCTTTCCTGAGGGACTTCCCAGTCTCGGGATGGCTAGGATCCAGGACAAGGGAGAGGTGACAGCTGCCCCTGGTGGTGCAGGGAGGGCTCTCCACCCTGCCACCCCTGCTGCCCCTCCTGGGCTTGGAGGTGGGCACCTGGCCGCTACAGCCTGCCTCTCCCTGTGTTTGCCAGCTCCCTGCCTGACTCCGGCTCCCGGGGCTCCTCCCACGTGGCTTGTCCACAGCGGGGAGAGCCCTGGCCCAGCCTCGGGGGAGGGAATGCCTGGCCTTGCACTGCTTCACTCGGGCGTTGCTAGTGTGATGCGGTGGCCCCCTTCCCAGGACGCCCTCGGGGTGGGTTTTGGGGTGCACCAGGCTGGTGCGAGCTCTGAGGGTGTCCCCCGTGTATGGGCCCCCTGGTGCGAGCTCTGTGGGTGTCCCCCGTGTACGGCCCCCTGGTGCGAGCTCTGAGGGTGTCCCCCGTGTATGGGCCCCCTGGTGCGAGCTCTGAGGGTGTCCCCCGTGTACGGGCCCCCTGGTGCGAGCTCTGTGGGTGTCCCCCGTGTACGGGCACCCTGGTGCGAGCTCTGAGGGTGTCCCCCGTGTACGGGCCCCCTGGTGCGAGCTCTGTGTGTGTCCCCCGTGTACGGCCCCCTGGTGTGAGCTCTGTGGGTGTCCCTGGTGTATGGGCCCCCTGGCTTTTTTTCCTAGTTGTTTTGGGGAGAACCCTCCCAGGATACGCCACACGCAGGGTCTTCCGTGTGTTGGCTCACCCTCCGACAACTCCGGGCAATGGTGTTCAGCCTATAATGCTGGCTTTTAACTAGAGCTCTTAGTCCACTTGTGTATAATGCATGTCTTGATACATTTATGTTGGAAGCTTCTATTCTATTTTGCACTTTCTATTTGGCCGCTGGTTCTGTATATTTTTCCTTCTCTTTCTTGCCTTCTTTTAGTTTATTTTCCCTGGGCTTATATTTGACGATTTTCAAGCAAAGAGAAAGTTGAAAGAATAGACAATGGCTACTTGTATGCCCTCCAATTAGATTTGTTAATATTTTGCCATATATGTGTGTATATATATATATAGACACATACACCTACACACATACACAAACTACAACACGCACACACACGTATGTACATGTATACATGTGTGTGTATGTGCTGAAGTGCTTTCTAAAGTGCATTCTGCAGATTTACTCTCCTCCCAGTAGAGTCTAAGCGTTCTAGGCATTGCACATCCTTGCCGGCCCTTGATAGTATCCTAGGTTTGAACTTTTGCCCGCCTGGCGGCTGTGAGGCGGCGTCTCGCTGTGGTTTGCATCTGCATGTCCCTGATTGGCACGAGGGTGAGCACCTGGGCTTCCTGCCTTGTGACGAGCCCATCTGCTTGCGGACTGCCAGTTCTTGCTGTTCCATGCTGCTGTCATGCCTGCCTGCCAGCCCTTCCCTCTCCTAATTTTTAGGGTCTACACTCCTGAGTTCTGGGAAACAAGATACAGCGCTGTATAATGATTTAAGGCTGTCACTGGGGGCTGAAGGACTCTCCTCTAGAATTGTGCGGCATGGAAGAATGCTTCACGTTGCAAGCAGCAGAAGTGCAACCTAATGCATCTATTGGCTTCTACAACAGACCAAACCCCAGGCAGCAGCTTCGGGTGGGGTGTGCTCTGGTAGCTCCAGGGTGTCACCAAAGACCCAGTCCTCAGCCTCTGCATGCTGCGTCTGCAGGCGTGGCTTGGCCTGGGCAGGCTCCCCTCACGTTCTTGTGCTGTTTGCCCATGACTCCCGAGGCTTTGGCTGTTTATTCACACACTCTCTGACCTGACTGAGTTGACTTAGATCACCTGAGCATCCTTGGACCGGTTTCTGAGGTTAAAGGATCAGGTTGGAGTCAGCTTCCCACAAACCACGTGGGCCTCAGACGGAAATCAGAGCAGATGGGCAGGGGGCGTGGATGCTGGGGCTCAGCCAGTAAACTCCCACCGTGGCAGACG